TATGACTGTCATGTTAAATCACCCAGTATATGCCGTATATTATGACTGTCATGTTAGATCACCTAGTATATACCGTATATTAGGACTATCATGTTAAATCACCCAGTATATACCGTATATTATGACTGTCATGTTAGATCACCTAGTATATACCGTATATTATGACTGTCATGTTAGATCACCTAGTATATACCGTATATTATGACTGTCATGTTAAATCACCCAGTATATACCGTATATTATGACTGTCATGTTAGACCACCCAGTATATGCCGTATATTATGACTCTCATGTTATATCACCCAGTATATGCCGTATATTATGACTGTCATGTTATATCACCTAGTATATGCCGTATATTATGACTGTCATGTTAGATCACCACGTATACGACGTATATTATGACTGTCATGTTAGATCACCTCGTATACGCCGTATATTATGACTGTCATGTTAGATCACCGCGTATATGCCGTATATTATGACTGTCATGTTAGATCACCCAAACTCTATCCCACCACCCTCGAGCTCCACCCCTTCCCAACCTTGGCAGCAAGCAGTACCCCAAGGCAACAGCCCAAACACACACCGTTGTAACGTGCGACTGACTGATCAATACCTGCGCCCCAACGCTCCACTAAACATGGAGGTGAAAGCGTTCCCGGGTCGGCGGACGTCTGCGTGGAGTTGCTGTGGCCTTCACTTGTTGGAAACCGCTTCACGCCTGACTGCAGGGATGATGGATTGGACAGCAGTCTCCAGTTGGGGGTCGGGTGTGGGTGTTGGTGTTGGTAGGTTTGGGGGGCGGGTGTGGGTATGGGTAGGTTTGGGGGGCGGGTGTGGGTTTGGGTAGGGTGTTTTTTGGTGTTTTTTTTGGGGGGGGCGGGTGTGGGTGTTGGTAGGTTTGGGGGGGGGGGGGGGGGCGGGTATGGGTGTTGGTAGGTTTGGGGGGCGGGTGTATTTGTGGGTAGGTTTGAGGGTCGGGTGTTGGGAATTGGTAGATTTAGGGGGTCGGGTGTGGGTTCTTATGTGCACATTGAGCAGTATTCCTGGAACACTCCATCTGTGTTTATTGTATCCTTATTGTATGAGGCTGACCTAGGTGCATGAAATCAACAACTGCTGGAAGCGCGTACACGTCATCAACACAACACAACCAATGGCAGCATCAGTAGGCTAGTTCCTTTATCATCATGAAAATAATTCTGTATGTTTTCTGAGACCTTATGTGTATATGTGTTATATCACGCCTTGTGTATATGTGTTATACCACGCCTTGTGTATATGTGTTATACTACACCTTGTGTATATGTGTTAAACCACGCCTTGTGTATATGTGTTATACCACGCGTTGTGTGTATGTGTAACAATACGCCTTGTGTATATGTGTTATACCACGCCTTGTGTATATGTGTTATACCACACCTTGTGTATATGTGTTATACCACGCATTGAGTGTATGTGTAACAATACGTCTGTGTATATGTGCTATACCACGCCTTGTGTATATGTGTTATACCACGCCTTGTGTATGTGTTATACCACGCCTTGTGTATATGTGTTATACCACGCCTTGTGTATATGTGTTCTACCACGCCTTGTGTATATGTGTTGTACCACACCTTGTGTATATGTATGACACCACGCCTTGTGTATATGTGTTATACCACGCCTTGTGTATATCTGTTATACCACGCCTTGTGTATATGTGTTATACAACGCCTTGTTTATATGTGTTATACCACACCTTGTGTATATGTGTTATACCACGCCTTGTGTATATGTGTTATACCACGCCTTGTGTATATGTGTTCTACCACGCCTTGTGTATATGTGTTGTACCACACCTTGTGTATATGTATGACACCACGCCTTGTGTATATGTGTTATACCACGCCTTGTGTATATCTGTTATACCACGCCTTGTGTATATGTGTTATACCAAACCTTGTGTATATGTACGATACCACTGGGTAACAGACGTAAAAGAGTTGCTGTTTTCCATTGGTTTTGGCTTCGTTTGGTGTGAACAATATATAGAATGTCATTCTTATTTCATTAGATCATTGACACAAAGACTAAAAGATACATATTTTCAAAATTGGTCTCAATCTGTATTTGAATCAAACAAATGTATTTATTACAAAATCGTAAAAAAGATGATTTCTAACCCGAACAGTATTTATTTTGTTTAAATATAAAAAGAATTCCGGGATTCCTTAGCAAGATTTCGATGTAGTTCACATGTTCTATTTATTGAAACAGGGCGTTACACGGTTATTAAAAGAGAAGAACGCATTTGTCAACTGTGCGCCCTGAATGACATTGAAGATGAATATCACTTCCTTTTTCTATGCCCATGTTTGCAACATTAAGGGCTAAGTATATACCTGAATATTACTATGTCAATCCAAATTTCTTTAAATTCACATCTCTGTTAAACAATTCGAAGTACTTACTTTTACTAAATGTTTCTATGTACATTAATCAAGCAATGAGACACAGGAAACATATTATGTTATAAACTTTACTGCCCTGAATGTACTAATTATAAATGTACTATAGGCCTGTGGCCTCAATACGGAAATAAAGAAATCAAAAATCTCTTTGAGTGGGTTAGATCGCTGATTTTGTGAGCTGGCGATTAGGTGCCTAACTCTGCAGTGTGGGTACGAATCCAGGACGGGATTCAACCCCAAAACGTACGAGAATCTCTACTTTACTATGGAAAGTGTTATCCCAAATATAACATGCGTTACATTTGACCACTTTCGAAATGCCATTGTGTGTTCATCACTCTTGTTGTTGGATTGGCCCAGCATGGATCATTGTGATAGTCATTTATTTGACAGATTGACTTAAAATTAGTAAGCAGTTCAACGAAACTTAACGGAATCACAATAGACTAATCGTGCCAGGATTACAACATAGGTCATTGTTGCACTGATCATGGACCTTGCTGTTAGCACACATTGTGGTGACAACTAACTCTAATCTGTCTGCTGCTGCACTCGTGTAATACTGTTAATAATGCCTATATACGTCATGTGTATATGTGCTCTTCAGTCTTCAATCTTTATTTCACGTACTGAAGAGGCCACAGGCCTATAGTACAATTTGAAGAATATAAAATTTTATACAATTTATGTACATATCTCACCAAATCACCTCACGTCATTCCACCTCGCATCTCGACACAGTCACATAATTTCACACATACAGTACAATACCATACCCTGTAATTTCATAATTTCTATTTTACCATATCACAACTTGTTATATCATACAACATATTCTATAACATCATATCATAGTGTATCATTATTATAAGATCATACTATATAGTATTATTTCATATACCGTTATCATATCATAACATACCATACATACCATCGTACCATATATCACACCTATATTATATCACATTTCAACATGTCATATCACACAACACATTAGCAATTTCATAGCTTGTCCCATCATATCTTATCATATCATACTATATAACGCCATGTCATTCCATGCCAATTTATATCATATCAATCATTCAATATTTATTTCAACACTGGAAGACCGCAAGCCATATAATATGTACACTAAAAAACAGTATTTACACAATTTCTATAATACACATAACATATTGCATTATATCCCCTCATGTATCATATCACACCACAACACTTATCATATCATATCACATCATGTCATGTCACATCATATCATTTCATATACATATAACTATACTAAACCATTTGTAATATCACGTCCCACAATATCATATGACAGCTTAGTAGTTTAATACCATTTCTAACTCTTTTGTTTGTAGTTTGTACTTAATGTATATACACAATAGTTTCCTAATACCAAGCAGCTAAGATTATTCTTTCATAAGGTTCTGTCGGTATAAAGAGGCATAATATATGTACATGGAAACATTTTGTAAGATACTTCTTTTTGTGTTTGACAGCAGTGTAACAAATTTAATAATATTAGGGTACCTGTAATAATAAGCTTGCAGGTATTTTTCTCTAAGGTGTAAATACACTGGACATACACGTAAGAAATGAAATTCATCTTCTACTGAGTTTAAACTACACAGATGACAGATTCTTTCTTCACGAGGAATGTTAACATAGCGCCCTGTTTTTATTAAAAGGTCGCGAGAAGAGCATCTAAAACGTGAAAGAGCCGTTCGAAATCTTTTAACATTAACTTTTGATAAATAATCTTCCATAATTATTTCTGATTTAAACATTTTGTAATAAGAGCACTTGTTTGTTAGCGTCAATGATGCAGTCCAAGATTGTAAATAATTATCCTTTAATCTCTGGGTTAATGAAAGTATAAACATTGATTTGGAATACACATTTTGGTTTTGCCAAATATCACCAAAGCCACAACTGAAAAGTAATTCTCTAACACCTGTAACCAAGTTTCTTTTCCCATTATTATCATAAACTATCATCATATTATAACACTTTTTTGGCAATCTATATGAGGGCATGTCAATAAGTCTCAGCCAGTATTTAATAACTTTTATATTTGAATATACATAGAGAGGGAATCTTCCACATTCTCCATACACCACCAAGCTGGAAGTGTTTCTTTTAACACCTAAATTCTTTTTGCAAATATATATATGTGCAGTGTAACGCCGCTGTGTCATAGTCACAGTCGAGTAGTATCTGGAATAACACCTAACTATTGAAAAAACCTTAACAGACAATGGCAAGTGGTGGACTCACATGGAATAACTTGTGTACCTGGAATCAAATCACTGTCCATTAAAAGCGCAGCGTGAGGCGTAACGTTACACACCGTCCACATATAACACGACCCATGAAATACCAACGCAATATTCACGAACAAAAAACACAGAAGCACTTGCCATGAATATTAATGAGCACATACTCATTAACCTTGCTGATGACGTTCGTTGAACGTAACGGTCTCAAGCACATCAACACCTTCACGTGATACCAAACATGTGATGAGGAACTCACCTGAGGGAGCTGCTTGGAGGATGTCGCTCTCACTCATTCCTGTCTGCTGGAGTCGGAGAGACTCGCCGAGAACGTTAGTTGTCTGGGTGGAACACATATAGAATATGGTGGGAATGCCAACTGGGATCGACCAGTTCCCTGATGAAAAGTTGGAGCCTTCGTCTACCTTCCCACACAACAGCGGCTATTGATCACAGCAGAACAAAAAGCCTGCTCTCTCCACCTGCGACGCTATAAATTTACGGAGTTTACACGTTGCTAGGTAACACACCTGTAGGAGTTAATGAAGTGTTGACACTGCTTGACGCTTGTCGAAGTGTTAATCGTCTCACATATATGTACCCGTATCACTTCTTTATAGACAGTGTTCTTAAAGAACTGTAACACGTATATAAAACCTCTTGCCGCACTTATTTCAAAAACGTTTGCACGAAGGCATTTACTTAAAATTGAAATTCATTTTTATCGGATTTTGCAATGACATCAGTGACGATTATTTTATATAAATGATGTTTTTCATTATTCATTGTGTCTCATCGGCCTTTTATGGCCTGATGTATGTATTTTATGCAAGTTTTTTATGTCTAATGTGTACACATACAACATGTGACACATAAATAAAATACTTTTTCTTTTTTCTTCTTTTCCTTATATCGTAAAGTCAAAAAAGGGGAATGGCATCAGACATTATTTTTATCACCGATGCTTCAAATCTGGAAATGTTTTTCACGTGTCTACCATAACACGTTTTAAAAAAACTTTATCGGGGCCTTGAGTGTTGTAACTTTGATCAAACAATGTTTGAGCAAGAGTCGTTTGACGCTGCTACAGTAACCGACCTGGTTGGTACGTGACTCCTTCAGTCTGCAGAAGACGGCGGCTGCCACGTGGAATACATGGGGATGCTGATCATGTTTCAGCGTCTGCCAGGCGTATTGGTCGTGGTGCTGAAATCACAGAGTGAGTGAGTGATGCTGAGATATACCAATGACGTCAAGGAGGTCTAAAAAAAACTTGATCACGTGAACAAGTGGTTAATCGTGTCAGAACACATCTAAACAGCCTCTTGCCCCGTCAACTACATAACTCAAACTTCAAATTTCCACATTTTACAGCCTTCGTTTAAGCAGAGAATAATGCCACGAATGGCAATGTGGCACCAAGTATTGGCCAGTCTGGTTGTGTTACAATGGTTACTTAGAGTAACGGGGCGGTCGGGTAGCCTCGTGGTTAAAGCGTTCGCTCGTCACGCCGAAGGCCCGGGTTCGATTCCCTACATGTGTACAATGCGTGAAGCCCATTTCTGGTGTTTCTGATATTGCTGGAATATTGCTAAAAGTGGCGTAAAACAATACTTTCTCTCACTCACTCACTCACTCACTCACTCACTCACTCAGAGTTACGTGTAAGTGTGCTTCTTATTGGTTTATGTGAGAGGCGGAGTGAAGATGTGAGAACATGACAAGTTGTTTGTTTTAGTCACGTAGTTCACAGTGACATACATGTGTTGAAGCGCATATGTGTATCACCTGTGTATTTAAGCACTTTCGTTGATAGGGGAATGTAATCATTACTGTATCCTATTTCGATGACAATATCATATTCAAAACACTGCTTTAGGTTTTAATACATACATTTTTACATCTATGGACCGTTCTTTGAAGGGGTTGATAGACAGAAGAACATCTCCACACCGAGTCTGTAAACAGATTGAACAAAAACCCAATACAATACAAGCCACGATTTTAATATTTGTTTATAAAGATCTCGGTCTCTATAACTTTTATATTAACTAAGTTATTGGGAATGTTACCTCTCTCAAATATTATAACATTATCCAATGCACTTTCACAACCGAAATCATAATAATAAATATTTGTTAGTTTATAAAGTGGTTTGTTAATATATCTAATATACAAGACGACTGGTTCAGTTTGAACAATAAATGTAAAGAAAGGAGCAAAAGTAAGTACCTCTCAGTTGATTTTATTATATGTTTGATTTTCAGTTGAAAATATCACGAGTTAGAGATATTAAATGCAAACAACTGAACTGTATTGGCGCTTAATCAGCCCTCAAAGAATACTTCAAAGAATATTACATGGTTATATTTTATAAAATACAATTTGAATGAAAACGTTTATTCTTTTGTGGAAAAACTGCTTAATACACAACTACTGAAGGGTATCTTAGAAATTATATCTTTGAAAATAATTGAATTTTCCTTATTTCGGCACGAATCAACAACATTTCAAATATGGTAGGGGTCGTGTGGTTGAAAAATCATTTCTTATCCCAATCTTACATTTACATTACATTTCATTACAGGCGTCTTGGTAGGGTCAGACACACGTGAAGTGTTAGTGGCGTCTTGGTAGGGTAAGACACACGTGAAGTGTTAGTGGCGTCTTGGTAGGGTAAGACACACGTGAAGTGTTAGTGGCGTCATGGTAGGGTCAGACACACGTGAAGTGTTAGTGGCGTCATGGTAGGGTTAGACACACGTGAAGTGTTAGTGGCGTCATGTTAGGGTCAGACACACGTGAAGTGTTAGTGGCGTCAAGGTAGGGTTAGACACACGTGAAGTGTTAGTGGCGTCATGGTAGGGTTAGACACACGTGAAGTGTTAGTGGCGTCATGGTAGGGTTAGACACACGTGAAGTGTTAGTGGCGTCATGGTAGGGTTAGGCACACGTGAAGTGTTAGTGGCGTCGTGGTAGGGGTTAGACACACGTGAAGTGTTAGTGGCGTCGTGGTGGGGGTTAGGCACACGTGAAGTGTTAGTGGCGTCGTGGTGGGGGTTAGGCACACGTGAAGTGTTAGTGGCGTCGTGGTGGGGGTTAGGCACACGTGAAGTGTTAGTGGCGTCGTGGTAGGGGCTAGACACACGTGAAGAGTTAGTGGCGCCGTGGTGGGGGTTAGACACACGTGAAGTGTTAGTGGCGTCGTGGTGGGGGTTAGGCAAACGTGAAGTGTTAGTGGCGTCATGGTAGGGTTAGACACACGTGAAGTGTTATTGGCGTCTTGGTAGTCGCTTGCATTACCCTTGATACTTTCTGGTAATCGTGTGTCCAACCTGCAGTACAGCCTCTGATGTGCACCAGACTGGCCTCTTTCAAGGCTTCTATTGCATCACGGTTTATGAGGGAAATTATGGCAGATGATATGGTGCTGACCAAACCAAGGACGAATCTGGGAATCGAGCTGGTCCTATATAAGTATCTATGTACACAAAGTACTATCCCATGAAGGCTATACACATCGAAATGTGCTCACTGCATTACCCTTTACAAAGTCGCCTGCCCTAAGGTATATCATTTCTCAAAGTCATAAATACCTTTAAAGCCCAACCAGACTCCGTTGGGATAACTGATTATTAGAATGGATCCCCGGTACCAGCCGACTATGGATCGGTTGTCAGGCTCGGTGACTTTGAGTTGCATCCTGAGGGCATGGGACGTTGCTCGTAATATCAATTATTGGATTTTTCAGGTCCAGATTCGATTATTTATAGCTGGAACGTTGGAACGTTGGCGTGCAACAAACAAACAAGAAACACCAGAAGGGTATTGGTCCAGGTAACTGTGTCTGGGCAAGACCGGTAGATAGGTCCAGTTGTGTTTGGTCTTCCTTCATCTCGTACTCCTCTCTCACAGGGGGCACGAGTGGCCCAGTAGTCTAAGGCGCCGCGATTCGCTGTGCAGAGTTGCGTCCCTTAGCACGCCAGAAACCTATGGTTGTGGGTTCGAATGTTCGCCCCGATTATGTTTCTAGGTTTGTCAGCACCATACCCGTGCTCGTTGGTTTCACCAAAGTGGTAAACGTTCGAGACCTGCATCACTTCGGGCTTTCCTCCCACATTAAGCTGACACGGCGTGATATAACTTAAATAATGTTAGAAACGGCTTTAAACCCAACTCACTCACTCATTCACTCTATAACAGGTGGGACTGGACGGCAGAGGCAGTGAGGGAGATTGTGTTATGCTTGCTGTAATTTGGTCAGGACAGTGCGTTAATCGTGTATGAAGGGTTATCTTATCATCAGAAACATTCTTAAAACATGAAAATAATACGTTTCAAGAGCATGGTAAGTTGTAAGATACTTAATACATGGAAATGGGTGTGGAAAACTCTATTTGGATAGTTGCAATAAAGCTACAGAAAGCCCCAGTTGCAACATTTGGTACATCATCATCGAAAGTTGTGTTGAGATCCCTCCACTGTGTTGCGTCTGTTGGACATTCCAGCCCAATGTATTTGTACCCCTCCTTCCTTGAAGGTGTGAATGATTGTGTGTCATCCCTTGAAGGTGTGAATGATTGTATGTCATCACTTGAAGGTGTGAATGATTGTATGTCATCACTTGAAGGTGTGAATGATTGTGTGTCATCCATTGAAGGTGAGAATGATTGTATGTCATCACTTGAAGGTGTTAATGATTGTTTGCCATCCCTTGAAGGTGTGGATGATTGCGTGTCGACATCCCTTTAAGGCGTGGATGATTATGTGTCACCCTTTGAAGGTGTGGAGGATTGTGTGTCGACATCCCTTTAAGGTGTGGATGATTGTGTGTTGCCATCTCTTGAAGGTATGGATAATTGTGTGTCGCCATCCCTTGAAGGTGTGGATGATTGTGTGTCAATATCCTTTGAAGGTGTGGATGATTGTGTGTTGCCCTCCCTTGAAGGTTTGGATAATTGTGTGTCGCCATCTCTTGAAGGTGTGGATGATTGTGTGTCGCCATCCCTTGAAGGTGTGGATGATTGTGTGTCGCCATCTCTTGAAGGTGTGGAGGATTGTGTGTTGCCATCTCTTGAAGGTGTGGTTCATTGTGTGTCGCTATCCCTTGAATGTATGAATGATTATGTGTCATCCTTAATAGGTGTGGATAATTGTGTATCGCCATCCCTTGAAGGTGTGGGTGATTGTGTGTCGCCATCTCTTGAAGGTGTGGATGACTGTGTGTTGATATCCCTTTAAGGTGTGGATGATTGTTTGCCATCCCTTGAAGGTGTGGATGATTGTGCGTCGCCATCTCTTGAAAGTGTGGATGATTGTGTGTTGCTATCCCTTTAGGGTGTGGATGATTGTTTGCCATCCCTTGAAGGTGTGGATGATTGTGTGTCGCCATCTCTTGAAAGTGTGGATGATTGTGTGTTGCCATCTCTTGAAGGTGTGGATGATTGTGTGTCGCCATCTCTTGAAAGTGTGGATGACTGTGTGTTGCTATCCCTTTAGGATGTGGATGATTGTTTGTCATCCCTTGAAGGTGTGGATGATTGTGTGTCGCCATCTCTTGAAAGTGTGGATGACTGTGTGTTGCTATCCCTTTAGGGTGTGGATGATTGTTTGCCATCCCTTGAAGGTGTGGATGATTGTGTGTCGCCATCTCTTGAAAGTGTGGATGATTGTGTGTTGCCATCTCTTGAAGGTGTGGATGATTGTGTGTCGCCATCTCTTGAAAGTGTGGATGACTTCGTGTTGCTATCCCTTTAGGATGTGGATGATTGTTTGTCATCCCTTGAAGGTGTGGATGATTGTGTGTCGCCATCCCTTTAAGGTTTGGATGATTGTGTGTCATTGTCTCTTGAAGGTGTGAATGATTATTTGTCATCATATCTTCACGTGGTGAATGATTGTGTGTCATTGTCTCTTGAAGGTGTGAATTATTGTGTCATTGTTTCTTGAAGGTGTGAATGATTATGCGGCATCATACCTTGAAGGTGTGGATGATTGTGTGTCGCCATCCCTTGAAAGTATGGATAATTGTGTGTCGCCGTCTCTTGAAGGTGTGGATTATTGTTTGTCATCCCTTGAAGGTGTGGATGATTATGTGTCATCCCTTGAAGGTGTGGATGATTGTGTGTCGCCCTCTCTTGAAGGTGTGGATGATTGTGTGTCGACATCCCTTGAAGGTGTGGATAATTGTGTGTTGCCATCCCTTGAAGGTGTCGAGGATTTTGAGTTACCATCTCTTGAAGGTGTGGATGATTGTGTGTTACCATCCCTTTAAGGTGTGGATGATTGTGTCTTGCCATCTCTTGAAGGTGTGAATGATTGTGTGTTGCCATCCCTTGAAGGTGTGAATGATCGTGTGTCGACATCCCTTGAAGGTGTGAATGATTGTGTGTCGACATCCCTTGAAGGTGTGGATGATTGTGTGTCGCCATCTCTTGAAGGTGTGGAGGATTGTGTGTCGCCATCCCTTGAAGGTGTGGATGATTATGTGTCACCATCCCTTGAAGGTATGAATGATTGTGTGTCATCCTTTGTAGGTGTGGATAATTGTGTGTCGACATCCCTTGAAGGTGTGGATGATTGTGTGTCGCCATCTCTTGAAGGTGTGGATGACTGTGTGTTGCCATCTCTTGAAGGTGTGGATGATTGTGTGTCACCATCCCTTGAAGGTATGAATGATTGTGTGTCATCCTTTTTAGGTGTGGATAATTGTGTGTCGCCATCCCTTTAAGGTTTGGATGATTGTGTGTCATCCCTTGAAGGTGTGGATGATTGTTTGCCATCCCTTTAAGGTGTGGATGATTGTTTGCCATCCCTTGAAGGTGTGGATGATTGTGTGTTGCCATCCCTTGAAGGTGTTGATGATTGTGTGTTGCCATCCCTTGAAGGTGTGGATGATTGTTTGTCGCCATCCATTTAAGGTGTGGATGATTGTGTGTCATTGTCTCTTGAAGGTGTGAATTATGGTGTCATGGTCTCTTGAAGGTGTGAATGATTATGTGGCATCATACCTTGGAGGAGTGAATGATTGTTTGTCATCATACCTTGAAGGTGTGAATGATTGTGTGTCGTCATACCTTGAAGTTGTGAATGACTGTTGGTTACGGTCTATTGAAGGTGTGAATGATTGTGTGTCATTGTCTCTTGAAGGTGTGAATGACTGTGTGCCATCATACCTTGAAGTTGTGAATGACTGTTTGTCACGGTCTATTGAAGGTGTGAATGGCTGTGCGTCATTGTCCCTCGAAGGTGTGAATGGCTGTGTGTCATTGTCCCTAGAAGGTGTGAATGATTGTGTGCCATCATGCCCTGAAAGCGCATCGTATCAAGCACCATGTACGTACATCGGATCAAATCACACATAGACCTCTGACTACAGGGACAATAGAATGCTTTCAAAATGGCTGCTATATTGAATGAGAATGATTTTTTCTTGGATGAGGTTTTCTTCACTATAGCTGACATGTACCTACGACGATGCAGGGACTGTGTGTCTACACAAAAGTGGAAGAACAAAACAATTTGTTCACCGAGCTAAAACAAACCCATGTTTGAAGATAAATCTTTATTGCCACAATCATCCACATAAAAGTCCTCATGTCACACACACATATATCACTGTGCTACAAGAAGGCAACTCTCTCAAGTCTACCTCTGTACATTGCTTCAGCATAAGAAAACAGCAGTAACCAGGTCAATCTATAAAGATAGACTTGCAAGAGGCTTCATTTTGATTTTGCACCACATTTAATTTTCAAAAAGTTGACTGATGAAGCATTTCTAAACTGTCAGTTTTATGAAAGTCCACTCGTTTTGTAAACAAAGTATCTAACAAGGTCTTATAAATATATATATTAACCAAATAAATGGCATCTTCCTGACGCGAGGGAGTTAACTGACTATAAAAGTCCAGTCTCTACACATGCCAAACTAGGTAACAAGCCTATACATAGTCCAATCAAAATCATGTAACGAAATAAACATCTGGTTCGTAAACTTCCGTGCAGATTTAGGTCAATTGCAAGATTTGCAAAGCATTTGTATCTGTCCACTGAACGTCCAAAGATATTTTCCAAACCTTTTTATGTTTTAAATCAAGGTGCTCTTGTAATTTGATGCATTTTGCGAGGTAAGACACGTTTTATAACAACATAGATCTTTATTATCGATCAGACCTTGACTGGGCACCGCCATTTTGTTTGAATCAAACGCAAGTAATAGGATAGATGGAATCTGATTTGTCAATAGGACGGACATAACTCGTTATTGCCACTTGTGACACTACGATTGAGCCACGGAAATCTAGCCTAGTTCGGCAAGGTCGAAAACATGACTTTTAAAGTCAGTTAACTTCCTTGTCGGGAAGATGAATAAACGGGCACAAAAACACTGCTCATATTCATTCATTCAGCTGTAACAATACCCATGCATGCTATGAAATCTGATGACATTTATACACATCAACACCTGTATTGACACTTGATGACAATTGTACACATCAACACCTGTATTGACACTTGATGACATTTATACACATCAACACCTGTATTGACACTTGATGACAATTGTACACATCAACACCTGTATTGACACTTGATGACATTTATACACATCAACACCTGTATTGACACTTGATGACATTTATACACATCAACACCTGTATTGACACTTGATGACAATTGTACACATCAACACCTGTATTGACTCCTGATGACAATTGTACACAGCAACACCTGTATTGACACTTGATGACAATTGTACACAGCAACACCTGTATTGACACCTGATGACAATTGTACACAGCAACACCTGTATTGACACCTGATGACAATTGTACACATCAACACCTGTATTGACACCTGATGACAATTGTACACATCAACACCTGTATTGACACTTGATGACAATTGTACACATGAACACCTGTATTGACACTTGATGACATTTATACACATCAACACCTGTATTGACACCTGATGACAATTGTGTACATCAACACCTGTATTGACTCCTGATGACAATTGTGTACATCAACAGCTGTATTGACTCCTAATGACAATTGTGCACATCAACACCTGCACTGGTACCTAATGACAATGATATACATCAAAGACTTATCACAGTTTTTGTTGTTGTTTTCACTTGACACACACATCAGTCATGTGTAGAAAGTCCTACAAAACAACCTTAGCGCTACGACAGTCATAAGTCTATGTTAAGGTATGGGAGTTATGATCACCTTAGCGCTAAGATCACTTTAGTGCTGACATCATTTGGTACGACACCCTGGAGTAAGGTTCACACCAAGAGCTGGTAAAACCTGGCAGTAGTGTCAGGGCATCAACTGAGGACTGAATATATTTTTCTTCTTGTTTGTGATTTTGAGCTCATATGGAACTCCTACATGTTCTACATGGTTCCGGTGTAACACTAGTATAATCAACAGTCATTCAATCTAGCATTGTGAATGCTAGGTCATGGACATGTCAGTAAGTGAAGCACTCCATGTCGCACCATGCATCCTTCACCTTCAAGTATTGACATAGAAATTGGTCTGGCTTGACTTTCAGTTTTGAAGCATGAAAATATCTTTAAATGATATATTAGCCACAATTGTACAAAAATACTGACCGCCATTCACTATAGAAGCAATTTAATGACAGTTGTCTGAAAAACTGTATCCAACATCAAGGTCAGCGTCTCCTAAACTCTGGGAAGCTGAAACACATATATGTTCTAACCAATCGCATTGCCATCCAGGGATAGATTCTGACCAATCAGATTGCCATCCAGGGTTAGATTCTAACCAATGAAATAGTATTCAAGGGCTAGATTTCTAACCAATCAGGTTGCCATCTAGTGTTAGATTCTAACCAATCTGATTGCCATCTAGGGTTACATTCTAACCAATCAGATTGCCATCTAGTGTAAGATTCTAACCAATCTGATTGCCATCTAGGGTTACATTCTAACCAATCAGATTGCCATCTAGTGTAACATTCTAACCAATCAGATTGCCACCGCACCTGCAACCCCTCTATATCCACCACATCTACACTGGAATGTTGGTAGCAGTTCAAACTAACTCTGTTCCACAACATGCACATGGCAGCAATGTGTTCTTTATCCTCAACCCCCTCAGATATGTCTCCTACAAAATAACTCCTCTCAGCCCAGAGAAACAAAAACTGATATCAGTCTCAAGTCTTCCATGTCACCTGAAGCTTCCCCCCCTCACCTCCTCCCCAAAAAACACTCCCACCCACTCCCAATCCCCTCCCAGTCTGTTCTCTGTCCTCGTTTAGGGGTCATCTAGGTGCTAGATACCCTCCAGATGTATCTTCATATTTACTTCTCAGTGGTAGTAGAACTTCAAAAACCTGCAGTGACAGATGTATCTTCATATTTACTTCTCAGTGGTAGTAGAACTTCAAAAACCTGCAGTGACAGATGTATCTTCATATTTACTTCTCAGTGGTAGTAGAACTTCAAAAACCTGCAGTGACAGATGTATCTTCATATTTACTTCTCAGTGGTAGTAGAACTTCAAAAACCTGCAGTGACAGATGTATCTTCATATTTACTTCTCAGTGGTAGTAGAACTTCAAAAACCTGCAGTGACAGATGTATCTTCATATTTACTTCTCAGTGGTAGTAGAACTTCAAAAACCTGCAGTGACAGATGTATCTTCATATTTACTTCTCAGTGGTAATAGAACTTCAAAAACCTGCAGTGACAGATGTATCTTCATATTTACTTCTCAGTGGTAGTAGAACTTCAAAAACCTGCAGTGACAGATGTATCTTCATATTTACTTCTCAGGGGTAGTAGAACTTCAAAACCTGCAGTGACAGATGTGTCTTCATATTTACTTCTCAGGGGTAGTAGAACTTCAAAATCCTGCGGTGACAGATGTATCTTCATATTCACTTCTCAGGGGTAGTAGAACTTCAGAAACCTGCAGTGACAGATGTATCTTCATATTTACTTATCAGGGGTAGTAGAACTTCAGAAACCTGCAGTGACAGATGTATTTTCATATTTACTTCTCAGGGGAAGTAGAACTTCAAAAACCTGCAGTGACAGATGTATCTTCATATTATCTTCTCAGGGGTAGTAGAACTTCAAAAACTGCAGTGACAGATGTATCTTCATATTTACTCTTCAGGGATAGTAGAACTTCAAAAACCTGCAGTGACAGATGTATCTTCATATTTACTTCTCAGGGGTAGTAGAACTTCAAAAACCTGCAGTGACAGATGTATCTTCATATTTACTTCTCAGGGGTAGTAGAACTTCAAAAACCTGCAGTGACAAATGTAGCCAAACAAATATGACATATCCTTCAACACACTGACAATGAGGTGACATGGTAGGTGACATGTGAGGTGACATGGTGAGGTGACATGGTAGGTGACATGGTAGGTGACATGGTAGGTGACATGTGAGGTGACATGGTAGGTGACATGGTAGGTGACATCTGAGGTGACATGGTAGGTGACATGTGAGGTGACATGTGAGGTGACATGTGAGGTGACATGGTAGGTGACATGTGAGGTGACATGGTAGGTGACATGGTAGGTGACATGGTAGGTGACATGTGAGGTGACATGGTAGGTGACATGGTAGGTGACATGGTAGGTGACATGGTAGGTGACATGTGAAGTGACATGGTAGGTGACATGGTAGGTGACATGGTAGGTGATATGTGAGGTGACATGTGAGGTGACATGGTAGGTGACATGTGAGGTGACATGGTAGGTGACATGTGAGGTGACATGTGAGGTGATATGGTAGGTGACATGTGAGGTGACATGTGAGGTGACATGTGAGGTGATATGGTAGGTGACATGTGAGGTGACATGTGAGGTGACATGTGAGGTGACATGGTAGGTGACATGTGAGGTGACATGGTAGGTGACATGGTAGGTGACATGTGAGGTGACATGTGAGGTGACATGGTAGGTGACATGTGAGGTGAGTTAGTGAGGTGACATGTGAGGAGAGTTACAAACATTTTCATAGCATTGGCAACATCACAACAATAAAGTGATGACTTCGTTAAGCAATGACCACAGCTAGTCAAGGGGGTGACTGAGGCTACCTACCTAGTAATATGTCAGCCGTCACGCAATCAAAGACCACAGCTGGTCAAGGGGGTGACAGGGACTACCTACCTAGTAACCTGTCAGCCGTCACACAATCAAAGACCACAGCTGGACAAGGGGGTGACTGAGGCTACCTACCTAGTAACCTGTCAGCCGTCACACAATCAAAGACCACAGCTGGTCAAGGGGGCGACAGGGACTACCTACCTAGTAATATGTCAGCCGTCACGCATTCAAAGACCACAGCTGGTCAAGGGGGTGACTGAGGCTACCTACCTAGTAACCTGTCAGCCTTCACACAATCAAAGACCACAGCTGGTCAAGGGGGTGACAGGGACTACCTACCTAGTAATATGTCAGCCGTAACACAATCAAAGACCACAGCTGGTCAAGGGGGCGACAGGGACTACCTACCTAGTAATATGTCAGCCGTCACGCATTCAAAGACCACAGCTGGTCAAGGGGGTGACTGAGGCTACCTACCTAGTAATATGTCAGCCTTCACACAATCAAAGACCACAGCTAGTCAAGGGGGTGACTGAGGTTACCTACCTAGTAATATGTCAGCCGTCACGCGATCAAAGACCACAGCTGGTCAAGGGGTGACAGGGGCTACCTACCTAGTAATATGTCAGCCGTCACACAATCAAAGACCACAGCTGGTCAAGGGGGTGACAGGGACTACCTACCACAGTAATGTTTCCTTGGGTCCAGACTCGAACCTGGTCTGTAGATCGGGCGGTGGGTAGCCAATGTCCACGGTGATGTTGGTGTAGAGGTGCTCCACCGCCGTCTTCATCACCGTGTAGTTCATCCCTACAGGGTCATTTAGACCATCCTTTGGCCATCGGGCTCGCCAGCCAAAAAATCTTTGATTTCTATAAGAAAAACACAACAATGTGTAAATTAAATGTGTAGATTAACTGTGTAGATTAAATGAAATTATAAAAACTATTAACAGGAGTGAGTTGGTCTAAACGCCACTTTTAACAGTATTCTAGTTATATCACAACTTAGCTATATTGTCTCAAGCATAGCCATTCCTATTGTCCTAAGCATACTACTCTTATTGTATCAAGCATGGCATATTGTGTTGAGCTGAGTATATTGATTGCGATATCATACTTTTGTTGTTGACACTAGCATCATATGCTTATTGTGTGTCCTCCAGAGTGTCTCACCCATTCTCTGCCCGGGATGCCTTGTGATGACGGACCATCTTGAATCTGCCGATGTGTTCTGGCGGCCGAGTGAGCAGCAGCCCTGATTCCTGGATCCTGATATAATATATATTATATATCTATCATTTATATCAGGACACCATCACAGTCTATCATTTATATCAGTACACCATCACACGGTGTGTCATTTATATCAGTACACATCACAGATTTTGTCATTTATATCAGTACACTATCACACAGTGTGTCATTTATATCAGTACACCATCACACAGTGTGTCATTTATATCAGTACACCATCACACAGCATCACACAGTGTGTCATTTATATCAGTACACAACCACACAGTGTGTCATTTATATCAGTCACCATCACATTACAGTCTAACAATGTTCTTTGAAGACGTTCATCTAGTACAGGCTGACAAATGGATGTCCTTCTGACAAATTTACAATGACTGTGTATCATTGAAACAGTAGGGCAAACTATTGACTGAGCTTGCTGAGAGGCCATGTTTACAGCGATAGACATTCCACAGACTTACCTTGCTGAAAGGCTATGTTTACAGTGATAGACATTCCACAGACTTACCTTGCTGAAAGGTCATGTTTACAGTGATAGACGTTCCACAGACTTACCTTGCTGAGAGGCCATGTTTACAGTGATAGACATTGCACAGACTTACCTTGCTGAAAGGCCATGTTTACAGTGATAGACATTCCACAGACTTACCTTGCTGAAAGGTCATGTTTACAGTGATAGACGTTCCACAGACTTACCTTGCTGAAAGGCCATGTTTACAGTGATAGACGTTCCACAGACTTACCTTGCTGAAAGGTCATGTTTACAGTGATAGACATTCCACAGACTTACCTTGCTGAAAGGCCATGTTTACAGTGATAGACATTCCACAGACTTACCTTGCTGAAAGGCCATGTTTACAGTGATAGACATTCCACAGACTTACCTTGCTGAAAGGTCATGTTTACAGTGATAGACATTCCACAGACTTACCTTGCTGAAAGGTCATGTTTACAGTGATAGACATTCCACAGACTTACCTTGCTGAAAGGTCATGTTTACAGTGATAGACATTCCACAGACTTACCTTGCTGAGAGGCCATGTTTACAGTGATAGACGTTCCACAGACTTACCTTGCTGAAAGGCCATGTTTACAGTGATAGACATTCCACAGACTTACCTTGCTGAAAGGTCATGTTTACAGTGATAGACGTTCCACAGACTTACCTTGCTGAAAGGTCATCGTCCTCATTGCCCCAGCCCCAGTAGGAGTTGCTGTAGCCATTGATCCTCTTGAAGTTCTCCCGGTTGAGGGCGATCACTCCCCCAGCGTAGTAGTAGTACATGACGCTGAAACACGATGAATGACTAGTGCAAAGTTTGTTTGCTTGAATCACAAGTACACAAAGTTTGTTCATTTGGATCACTCATACACAGAGTTTGCTTGTTTGGATCACTCAGACCAACTGCTGATATCATGAGTAACAACCCATTCCTTCAGAGTACAATGACATATAATCACCCAATTCATCCAGCCTGTCCACCCAATTCATCCAGCCTGTCCACCCAATTCATCCAGCCTGTCCACCCAATTCATCCAGCCTGTCCACCCAATTCATCAAGCCTGTCCACACAATTCATCAAGCCTGTCCACCCAATTCATCAAGCTTGTCAAGCCGGAATATTGTTGAGTGTGGCATTAAACAACAAACAAAACAAAACAAATACAGCAAGAGATATAGCTAGAAGTCTCCTACTGGTATCGCATCTCATCAATGGCGGAGGCGAGATGACGGGCATGCTGGTCGCACATGTAGTAGTTCTTGTCATGTTCCGGGATCAGATCCACGTCATGCAGCACAAAACAGTCAAACTTGTCATACGCCATCGCCTCCATGAAACCAACGTTCATCAATTTGCCACGGTTGAACTTGTCACTTCCTCTCTGAAACATGTGATACCAAATTAGGAGTTCCACAAATGTTTGCACACTCCATCTTTATGAGACGGAAACAACTGTCACAACAATCTCCAAGGCAACTGTTTGTTGGCATTGGTTTGTTCGTTATTTTTATCACACCCATCAATATTTGCACTACAGGTGAAGTTATCAGGTGCAAAAATCACATGATGACTGATAACAAGGATCTGGTAGCGTATCTACCCACCTGTTCGATGACAAAGACCTGGTATTGTATCTACCCACCTGTTCGATGACCAAGACCTGGAAGTGTATCTACCCACCTGTTCGAGGACGAAGACCTGGTAGTGTATCTACCCACCGGTTCGATGACGAAGACCTGGTAGTGTATCTTCTACCCACCTGTTCGATGATGAAGACCTGGTAGTGTATCTACCCACCTGTTCGATGATGAAGACCTGGCAGTGTATCTACCCACCTGTTTGATGATGAAGACCTGGCAGTGTATCTACCCACCTGTTCGATGACGAAGATCTGGAAGTGTATCTACCCACCTGTTTGATGACGAAGACCTGGTAGTGTATCTACCCACCTGTTTGATGATGAAGACCTGGCAGTGTATCTACCCACCTGTTCGATGATGAAGACCTGGCAGTGTATCTACCCACCTGTTCGATGACGAAGACCTGGTAGTGTATCTGTTGCCTCCTCAGCATTGGGTGGAGTCGGTGCAGCAGCTTCTTCAGGTGCTGCCAGCGGTCTCGGTACGGGATGATGATGGCAACCTTCTGCCAGGACGAGCATCCCTCCGGCTTCCACCGCCCACCTTTCTGCACAGTGGGATTCCTGGCCACGATGTCTTCAACTGCCGGCTCGTCAAAGATATCCACTTTGGCAATCTCTGTAATCAAAGCAGAATGCATATAGCTGTTTCTGTATACACCCATCATGTTTTTTTTATTATCTGTTTTGGGCGGTCGGGTAGCCTAGTGGTTAAAGCGTTCGCTCGTCACGCCGAAGACCCGGGTTCGATTCTCGACATGGGTACAATGTGTGAAGCCGATTTCTGGTGTCCCCCCCCATGTATTGCTGGAATATTGCTAAAAGCGGCGTAAAACTGTTTTATTTAAGAAAATCATTTTCTTTTGGCTACTTCAAATGATGCAGCAACAAAGAACTGTTTATTGTTTCAGCTTGATCAAGTCATAATCTTCATTGATGTACATATATGTATTTTTAATTTCTGGATACGTAGGATATATATTTTTATCACATACAGAAAAACAGAACATCAAGATATTAAAACAAAGAGGAAACAGTCAAATGTTTACAAAAAAAAAAATGCATCATTTACACTATTTCTTCCATGAAAAAATGAATAAATAGATTATCTGGTGGTTTGTCTTCTGATGATTCCATGGTAACTGAAGTAGAAATAAGAGCATCCCAACGTACCTAGTTCGTCAAAGTGGACTTTACACTTGCCCTCGTCGCTGCCCCCGATCTGGGACATCCGGAGCAATGTGTCGGGCATGGTGAAGATGCAGTGACTCTTGTAATTGAACAACGCAAACAGCCACAGGCACAGATACGCAAACAACAACACGTTCGTCCCGTTACGCCGCAGACTCCGGGACACCATGTTGACTGGTGGTTACCTCCCCTTTGGATTGATGGCTATCTCCCCGTACAGGATATCTGTCATGTGAAGTGATGAAAGTTAGCAGCCTCAAGTTAGCAGGCGGGTTCGTATTCATTATTCGAATAACGAAAAACAAACCAGCATCAGGTTTGTTATTCAAAATCTGTACATTGAACAACTACAGTAAAGTGATCAAATACACTGAAACTTACATAACAATGTTTGTCTAACAGGTGTAAAATCGTCCAAAAGCTGTCCCGAAATCTGAGTGCATTTCATAATGTTATGACAGTATAATATGACCAGGCAGACCCCAAACAAACAAGTCGGCTCATTAACTAGAATAGATTCACTTTGATGAAGGGCAAGTACTCAAGCAGGTGGACCTTTGTATCGCCGCGAAAGACAGTCATTGTAAAGATGTTTGTGTGTTTAAACTACCTTGAAAAGTTATTTGTAGGCAATTTTTTTTCTTAATGCTAGTTATCACTGGTTATGTCACTGTCTGCAAGACATTCGGTTGGAACTATATTAACTGTTGCCACTATCCAACTGACTAATCACTGACATTGTGACATAATACACTAATGTGAACATTCCCATGATTCCTGGACAACTTGCACTTTTTAGGTACGATTTTTTGGGGACGAGATTATTTTAATGATAGAATAATTTAAGAATGACATTATATGATAAAGAGGTTGTCATGCTTGTAGGTTTGGCAAGTATCCTGAATAAGGTATTATGACTTTAGATGCAACACCTTGCAAAATACAATGTTTATTCCTGATGCATGATATTTAGTAGCGATGGGTATTGGAGGTTTAAAGTGTATCATACTATTTTGCAATGCACAAGGGAGAACTGAAGAATGCTGGTACAACATAATGTTTACTCAGTCAATTAATCCAGCCATCTGGGGCCCACATGAATGCTCCCAGTCAGCGAAGGCATTTGTCAAGCAAATAATATTAAAAAATAGTCATTTGACATCACCCAATGTATCGAGCATGAAAAAATGATACTGGATACGTATCCTTGAAAGAATGAACCTCAATTTACCTATATACAGGTAATACCTCACATCCTTAATATTTAGCATCCAATAACACAATCGTGTATTAACCTCTGTTATATCCAAACTAACTAATAGATCTATTCAAGTAGACAACATGATGCAACATGCTTAATTCTAACTACACGGCAGTATGTCTCCGTTATTCCCCACACTGAAGCATGTTGCACTGTCAGTAACAGTGTTACGAGGGTTGGTGTTTTATGTCATCCGTCTCAGTAACAATGTTGCAAAGACGTGACACGGTTACGTCTAGTATGCCCGCACCCAGTGTCACGTTGTTTGTCAACATCGGTTAAATATGAAGAATGTCATTGTCATTCTCACCTTCCGGAAATAGAGTACTCAGTAAATAATGCTTGACAACTTTGTATTTGTTCCATAGCACGTTGTTGAGGAATTACTTTCACCTGGGATGTGTGAGGACTACTGAGTAATTGTAACATCTTACCCGTGTCATCTACATGAAGGAAAAACGAGCTTAAAAAGAACCGAACATCGAAACATCGAGATCTATATTTCAGTCATGTTGTGTTTTTGTTTTCCTCTCACGTAGACCGGTGTTTGTGTAATTTTACTCCTTCCTTTGACGTGTTCAAAGCCAAACATGGATGTGAGACAACCAGTTACTATATTGCGCACTTTCCATAACTACCCTTGTGTCTTTCCTCAACAGAAAGCGTTTGGGAAAAAACATTTCATTCGCGATATCTTCGCTATTACGCTTAAAATAAACTAACATCACACAGGGCACAGTTTGTATCGTCACCGTCATGATTGTAAGGGAGATAATTATCAAGTTTACTGTAGCAAACCGCGTAAAAATGTATCCTCTTTCGGCTTTTGTGTAGCTACGATTACGGTATCCCGATTAATGTCAGTTTTTCTTTTGTCAGATCCCCAGTATTCCCGATTTTTAGTTACTGTTAGTTACTCCTCTCAAATTAAACTACGTATCCTAGGTAAGGATAAGATTTATCGATGAACAACTTCGATCCTTATTACAATTAGGAGCGACGTTTCGATGTAGGTTCTAAAAGCGTTATCAAACAAGTTCATCCATAAATCTTATCATCAATTTGTACTCCAATGCCTCTCAAAGAAGTTATGCTTCTAGTCCCGTGCAGGGAATTCAACCGCGGACCTACTGATCCGAGGTCGGACGCCTCGTCCAAATGACCAAAGGTGTGAGCCCGCTGCCAGTGCCCGCAAGGGTTGGACTACCCCCCCCCCCACACACACACACACACACACACAAACAAACACACATACACACACCACTTGGTTGATACATGTCATCGTATGCCTATTGCGTAGATCGATGCTCATGATGTCAATCACTGGATTGTCTGATCCAGAGTCGATTATTTACAGACTGCCGCCATATAGCTGGAATATTGCTGAGTGCGGCGTTAAACAACATACAAACAAAAAGATAAATGCAGTTGCGTATTTGGTACATGTTCTTCAGAATCCCGGCAGAACTTACGAACTGCAAGGCTTATATTATTTATGTTTTTCGTCTGTTTGAGCTTCATGACTACGTGGAATATTTTACAAGTACGTTAATAAGTTTACAACACCGTGAGATTCGTCACTGTATGATGAAGAGGAAGGGTTGAACTTTCATTTACAATGTAGAACACTGTGTGCATTCAATTATGACCATCATGTGCACGACGAACATACACTGTTGCAAAATAATATTACTTGTTGGACAACTGAAAACAATGCAGGATATAAACTGTTTATACCATGCTGTTTTGTTTTCCACCTCTGCTGCTGTTTGTTGCAATCAGCTTTGTTTTGTTTGATGTTTAACGCCGCACTCAGCAATATTCCAGCTATATGACGGCGTCCTGTAAATAATCGAGTCTGGACCAGACAATCCAATGATTGACATCATGAGCATCGATATCAACCAAGTCAGCGAGCCTGTCCACCCGATCCCGTTAGTCGCAATACTCCAATATGTAATCATTGAGTCTGAACCAGACAATCCAGTGATTGACATAATGAACATCGCGGACCCATGGGATACCATAACTTTTAACCAAACGATCTTTGCCATCTGGGTATGATGACCACCCCTGACCACCCCATCCATTTAGTCTCTTCTTTTTCTTAGTCTTTTTAGTCGCCTCTTACGCGACCCATTTAGTCGCCTCTCACGCCAACCATATATGGACGATATTGAGCCGGAATACCCACGGAGTTTCCATGTTTGCGAACACATGATATCACGCAATGATTCGCGCGGTATTTAAACAAGTCTATGTACGAACGCCTGGTTGAATTTATGTTGTCGCATACCAACCTGCGCTGGCGCGAATACCAGGGTGAAAACCTCTATTGCACCGACAGTAGCTGAGCCGGTTATCCCAGCGTAAAGCTGTCGGCACGGGACGGCAAATCTGATGTATACATATTGCATTTGTTGGAATTTCTTTTCTAAATGTACCATGAAAACAGTATGAGCTTTCTCACGTTATGAATGCGCTTATGGAGATAAAACCTATCGCAAGATTTACATTTTAAAATGATTGAGAATACAATATATTACCGTCCCAATCGATTACCAAATCAGAGCTAATTCACCTTGAATTTACTCACGTTGCAAATGTGTTTAGTGATAAGGCGACAGCTTCTGATGTTGCGGTGAGGTAGTTTACTCTCGACATTTAGGGAACTCTGGCTTTGGACCACCAACAACCTGTACAATATACAGTCCAGGGGGGCACGGGGGGCCCAGTCGTCTAAGGCGCCGCGATTCGCTGTGCAGAGTTGCGTCCCTTGGGCACGCCAAAAACCTATGTTTGTGGGTTCGAATCCCGGTTCGCCCCAATTATGTTTCTAGGTTTGTCAGCACCATACCCGTGCTCGTGGGTTTCACCGAAGTGGTAAATGTCTGAGACCTGCATCACTTCGGGCTTTCCTCCCACATTAAGCTGACACGCCACGATATAACTGGAATACTGTTAAAAGCGGCGTTAAACCCAACTCACTCACTCACTCATATGTAGTGTGTTGTTACAAGACGCGTGTGTCAGTCTGTGTGTAGACATGCTAGAAGTAGGAATCTCCACGTGTGTGGGAAAACAGTACACATATACACTTTCACTTTTCAGGATTGGGGAATCACTTCGGGAAACCTAACTCAAGTAATAACTTAGAATGGGGGACACGGGAGATTATACTGGCGTTTCTATTTTCAGTAAATTAAGTGCAACTACATGCAAATTTATTGTTTTGAAATGACGTCTATATGTATATTTGAAAGGATACAGAACTAAGACAGCCATGCTGTTGATAATGGTTTCTGTGCAAACTGCGTGGTAGGACGGTGTTGAGTATCAAAGGTCGCCGGTCGAGATAGAACCGCACCAGGCCCGACAGATGCACCTGGTACAACTTCATAAGGTTAAATACAAATCAACTCCCAAAGTATAATCATAGTGCTGCATTTTACCAGAGGTTTAGTACCTTTAATGGAATTGTGAAGATTTTTTTGTGAAATCAGACAGTTCTGAAAACAACTTTGTTTCATGCTCACGATAACAGTAAGGCAACCCTGCATGCTCAACGCACTGACTGATTATTCAATTTCTACATACAGACCCTTGAGCATATATTACATTCTCACTGCCTCACCCCGTCCACCCCACGACCCAACCACATCCCACCATCTTACCCCGTCCACCCCACCACCCAACCACATCTCACTATCTTACCCCGTCCACCCCACCACCCAACCACATCTCACTATCTTACCCGGTCCACCCCACCACCCAACCACATCTCACTATCTTACCCCGTCCACCCCACCACCCAACCACATCTCACTATCTACCCCGTCCACCCCACCACCTAATCACATCTCACTATCTACCCCGTCCACCCCACCACCCAACCACATCTCACTATCTATCCCGTCCACCCCACCACCCAACCACATCTCACTATCTACCCTGTCCACCCCACCACCTAATCACATCTCACTATCTACCCCGTCCACCCCACCACCCAACCACATCTCACTATCTTACCCCGTCCACCCCACCCTGTGTAACACCCAATCCATGCACTGTCAACCCCCACCCACTATCTCTCCCCCACCCCACTCACACTTCTATCTCTCCTCCACCCCATGCACTGTAATACCCGACATTACTATCTCTCCTCCGCCCCAGGCACTGTCACACCCCACCTCACTATCTCTCCTCCACCCCATGCACTGTCACACCCCAAACCACTATATCTCCTCCACCCCATATACTGTCAGACCCCGAACCACTATCTCTCCTCCACCCCATGCACTGTCACACCCCACCTCACTATCTCTCCTCCACCCCACGCACAGTCACGCCCCACCTCACTATCTCTCCTCCACCCCAGGCACTGTCACACCCCACCTCACTATCTCTCCTCCACCCCATGCACTGTCACAACCCACCTCACTATCTCTCCTCCACCCCATGCACTGTCACACCCCACCTCGCTATCTCTCCTCCACCCCATGCACTGTCACACCCCACCTCACTATCTCTCCTCCACCCCAGGCACTGTCACACCCCACCTCACTATCTCTCCTCCACCCCATGCACTGTCACACCCCACCTCACTATCTCTCCTCCACCCCATGCACTGTCACACCCCACCTCACTATCTCTCCTCCACCCCATGCACTGTCACACCCCACCTCACTATCTCTCCTCCGTCCCATGCACTGTCACGCCCCACATCACTATCTCTCCTCCATCCCATGCACTGTCACACCCCACATCACTATCTCTCCTCCACCCCATGCACTGTCACACCCCATACCACTATCTCTCCTCCACCCCATGCAATGCCACACCCCACCTCACTATCTCTCCTCCACCCCATGCACTGCCACACCCCACCTCACTATCTCTCCTCCACCCCATGTTCTGTCCTTTTGACAAAGCACCAAAGCAATTAATGTCCCACCATGCAAAATTCCAGCTATATGACGGCGGCCTGTACATCATAGAGTCTGGACCAGACAATCCAGTGATTGATATTTCGGCGTATCGTCGGGGTACGAGAGAACGCAATCCAGCACGGCACCCATGGCCAACACGGCACCCATGTATTGCATGCAGTCACCTCGCACAGCCAGCATAGCTTGGTTGCCGTGGACCAAACCAGGGACACCCATGCACGGGGTCGCTGATTATGGATATGGATAGGCATGTGGGCGTCTTAGTACTCTTACACTGACAGGGTAAGCTTATACAGTGTATGTCAGATTTGTACATATATCAGAAGATCATGTCGATAAGTTATCAATACATGTCCATTATATCCATTTCAAAACTAAATATCGATTGCTGATATTTATAAATCATGAGTACGATTTAGGTTGCAAAATCTCTCTGTTGCAAAAAAAAAGACTTAGTGATGAGGGGCGGTGGGATAGCCTAGTGGTTAAAGCTTTAGCTCGACACGCCGAAGACCCGGGTTCGATTCCCAACATGGGTACAATGTGTGAGGCCCATTTCTGGTGTTCCCCGCCTTAATATTGCTGGAATATCGCATAATGCACGTGCAGTACGAAAATATGGGCCACTCTAAACCCAGCACGCATATTGAAACATGAAGTTCTGCATGACATTTCCGTGCAGCATATTTGTGTTGTATTTATTTCATTTACTTATTGATTTA